TTCTTCATCATCATTATTAAAAACTTCGTTTATTATAATAAACAAAATATGCTTTAAAAGCGTTTCTCGAATTTAAAGACCTATCTCATAGACTCCGCCGTGGCTTTGTGCTAGGTGATAGCAATTCCGAGCTCAATACACTGCCGTCGGTTCTCACCTGTTTAATCGCGAAAATTATTTTAAATAGTTTCGAATTCGCGCATATGAAAAAGATCTAATGTGTTTAAGTGTCATATTTGTGGTATATGTACCACAATTATAAGCTCCACCTCTACCAATATCAACCTTGGTATATCCCTTATAGAAATATCATACTAAGAATCATTGATAATTACTTATTATCCAGTATTTTTAATACTGAAAATAAGTAATTATCAATGATTCTTAGTATGATATTTCTATAAGGGATGTACCAAACGATCGCCAAAAATCGCCTATTGTGAACAAAAGAATACATAGAGAACGAAAGAATACATAGAAAGGCGCCATCAGATGAACTTATGATGGTTGGACACAAACGTATCGATTCAGTGACTTCGATCCAATAGAACGAAAAAGAAGTTTCATGTAGACAATCGACGGTTTTTGTACCAGTAGATTCTTGAGTGACAGTACTGCCATCCAACGGTCAGAAAAAAAAGGAACAAAAGAACATTCTTCACTTTTTATTTTCTCCACTTCTTAGGGCCCTTGCAGAATGTCAGACAACAGGCAATAGGAACAGGGAATAGGAATTCGGATTGGTCAATTATTTCTATTCCCTGTTCCCACTAGCTAATGCCTATTTCTATTGCCTGTAGCCTGGCATTGTGTAAAGATCCTTACACCCTTTCAGTCCCTCTTGACCTGAGATTTTCTTTGTACTTTTCCAACTAAAATATGATTCTTTTGGTCTATTGCCTCGAGTATCTCCAGAGGAGACTTGTAAATTGTGAGTATGTAACACCTGTTAAAATATTTATAAATTTTATATCTTAAAATCTTGTTATATTTTTAAATTTTATTTTTATTTTTATTTTGTTTTATTTTATTTTACTTCATTTAAATTTTTTAAATTTACTTTATTTAATTAATTTCACTCATTTTATTTAAATTTTAAATTTGATCTTTATATTTTTAAATTTTTATAACTTTATATTATATTGTATCTTTATAAACTTTGAAATGTTTCTTTATGTATGGTAATGTATGGTAATATAATGATTTACATATATAATAATTTACATATATAATATATTGGTCAATCTTACGTTACGTCTTACGGTTACTGTTACGAAAAGTGTGTGTGGCTAGCTTAAGAATTGACCAATTACGATTGAGTATTCATCAAAATGACGATCTTACGATTAGACAATTCTCAACGTGATAGGTCAATTCTTAAGGCCTTCACACATGAAATGACATAACTGCATGCGCATAGCATAAGACTGTATGGACCAATGAGCATCGAGTATTGAGCATCAAGCATCAATATGGCGGCTAAATACTCGATGCTCATTGGTTCATACAGTTTTATGCTATGCACATACAGTTATTATCATTTCATGTGTGAGGATCTTTATGGCTCCTGCACAGGACGCGGTAATGCTTGCCGCGCGGCGGAAATCCGCGCGACAGCCAATCAATATGTTGTTTTTCCGTAAGAGCTAGAAGGTTATTACGGAAAGCAGCATATTGATTGGCTGTCGCGCGAACTTTTGCCGCGCGGCAAGCATTACCGCGTCCTGTGTGCAGGAGCCATTACGTTACTGTTATATCAAGTTGTGTGTGGAGGCCCTAAAGCTGGTGGCATATAGAAAAACTTAAGCAGTAAGACGTAAGCAGTAAGCAAATTGACCAATCACAGTCATTGATTCTTCTTACGGTTAAAAAATCAACGACTGTGATTGGTCAATTTGCTTACTTCTTTCGTCTTACTGCTTAAGTTTTTCTGTGTGCCACTGCCCTAAGTACGAGTCTGTCGGTGTCGGTCACACGGCTTGTGACGTCATTCACGCATGCTCACGGTCTGCTATTTTTCTCAAACCTTTCATCACTGGTTCCAGATAGAGGTGCGTTCAGATTTCTTATCCGGTGCACCCTGACCATATGGCTCCTGCACACAGGACGCGGTAATGCTTGCCGCGCGGCGGAAGTCCGCGCGACAGCCAATCAATATGTTGTTTTTCCGTAAGAGCTAGAAGATTATTACGGAAAGTAGCATATTGATTGGCTGTCGCGTGAACTTCCGCCACGTGGCAAGCATTACCGTGTCCTGTGTGCAGGAGCCATTAAGCAATTGGAAGCTGTGATTAAGCTGGTGGCACATAGAAAAACTTAAGCAGTAAGACGTAAGCGGTAAGCAAATTGACCAATCACAGTTATTGATTCTTCTTACGGTTCAAAAATCAACGACTGTTATTGGTCAATTTGCTTACTTCTTAGGGCTATCGCACACAATTGACATAACTGCATATGCATAGCATAAGATCGTATGGACCAATGAGCATCGAATATTAAGCATCGAACACCAATATGGCGACTTAATACTCGATGCTCATTGGTACATACGGTCTTATGCTATGCATATGCAGTTATGTCAATTTGTGTGCGATAGCCCTTACTGCTTAAGTTTTTCTGTGTGCCACGGCCCTTAACCGTAACCTCAATTGTAACGAAGCCTTTAGTGTAATATAGGCTTTAGTTTTGCGTTATCAACGCGAAGCGAGAGATGTAAGATGAAAACGGCTACAATCAGCTACAATCGGAAAATGGCGTCGTCAAGTACCCAACGTTGGATGGTGGACTCTGGAATTCTACGTAAAAAGAATAACGACGAGCAACCGCAGGAGCTATTGGTCTTCGGATATAGCTGCAAATTGTTTCGCGATGATGACAAGGCGAAAATGATTGATCAGGGAAAGCATTTGATACCATGGATGGGCGATAACACGTTGAAGATAGACAGGTCCGTTTCCATAACCTAGACCAATTTCTCATATAGAATATTTGTTCTTGTGCGATAAGAAACAAAAAAAACGCATCGTAAATATGTTACGTTTTTGGCAAACGATCAACTCAGATGAAAATGATATTCCGAAAGCAAAAAAATCTATCGAAATGAGTCAAGTGTTGCGTTTGAAAGGAGATAGAATTCGTAGACCCAAGGGCCTCCTTCTTCATCGTTAATGTTTGGATAAGCAAACTGGAGACTGTTTAAGGCTTCCGCAGGTGTCTCGGCTGTATCGAACGTGCCGAACGTGTGGCAGCGCGATATTGCGCTCTGCACGGTCGCAGAATCAGATGCTCTCACGATGCTTATGGTGCTTATGGCTGACCGTCTGAGCAGCAGCAAGGTGAGACACGGCGTAGAGAAAGTGGCAGCTGACGGTTGTAGGTATTACGACCGCTCAGCATGGTATGTATTAGCATATTAGACTCTGTCCCAGGAGCCACTTAGGACATTCTTACAAGTTCGCAAGTATGCAACACAGATCTGTTGATACAGTGATACGTGTATAAATGTCCAGACTTATCTATATCTCGACAATACTGGGTCATATTCAAGCCTCGATATGCAGATTTCTTACATACAATACGCAAAATCATTCCAAGCATATGTACATTAAAGTGCTTTAAGTATATGAGAATGTAAAAAAAATATAAATTACTACTAGAGAAAATTGTATGCAAGATGTGTCATCGGTTGCATAAGTTTGAAATGTTCTTAAGTTATTGTCGCAAATATATGAATATATTATGATATATAATATCAAAGAGCAGTTATATAAGAAAAAAGTGTTATTAAACTGAACCCATCAACGAATGTAGAAATATTGCGCAGCGTCCTCCACAGCTCCGTTTTATTTCAGAGAGATCGCTTTCATGGGACTCACTTCTTGATTTAGATTTCCAGATGCAGTGGCCAACTGTACATCAACAGTTAAAAGAATATCGTCTTCTTCCTCTAATAGATTTATTGTATGTGTATAGATACGATGGACGGGGCGCACTGGGTGACCTACGGGTGTACGAGCCACCGACAGGTGGTTTTGATCAACGGACCATACTCACCGAGGAGGAGCTGAAAATAGAACAACTCTGTGACGAGGAGCGGTATCGGTCTCTTTACAACAATGATGAGGACGAATCCATCTATCATGGTAATTACATGTTATGAAATTTTAGTCAATAGTTATAAGTAGAGTCAAAATTTATATATATATATATATATATATATATATATATATATATATACATACATATGTAAATTACAAATATGTGTTTATAACAGAAGAAGAAATGAGGAGGCTGCATCAAGCGCTAGACTCTGAATCGTATCATCAAGTGGGATTTAATTATAATGAGGACGAGAATGGTCACAAAGCTCCGTGTGAAGACTCGCAAAGTCCGAAACAGTCGGAGGGTTCGCAGGAAGAGGATCAAGCATTTGTCCCACCTCCTGAACTGGAAATCCCAGAAGGAATGATTGTGGTAAGATTTTGTTATATTGGAAAATATCTACAGACTACAGTTTGATCTTATATCCAAGATCATCTAATGTATAGTCTTAAGATGCTATAACTCATTTTATTGACTAGATAACATCTTAAGGCTCCTGAGGAGTCGCATCATCCATCTCTTTTTTAATAACGTCAGAAGCGAGAAAACGCATGCTAAAAATTCCTGCAAAATACGTCGAGATAAACAGATATATCCACAAAACGACATTTGCGATCGATTAAGTACACCTCTAAAATACTCCGTACACTTTCCTTTTGTTCTAAAAATCAATAGATAATCGGAAAATTAATATGACAAGATAATGAGGAAATTAGGTTAGAAAAGACGATTGCACGTCACATTTATTTTATAATTATCTGTTGATTGTTAGAACAAAAGGAAAGTGTACGGAGTATTTTAGAGGTGTACTTAATCGATCGCAAATGTCGTTTTGTGGATATATCTGTTTATCTCGACGTATTTTGCAGGAATTTTTAGCATACGTTTTCTCGCTTCTGACGTCATTAAAAAGAGATGGATGATGCGACTCCCCAGGAGCCTTAAGATCATCTGATATTATATTTAAGACTATTTTGAAAATCATATGTATATAAGCATGATTTTCTCAAGTAAAACTTGTAAATGAAATAATATCAATTTTGTGTGTTTAGCCGGAAACTCAAAAGTTGAATGCCATTATAACGAAAACGGCATTGTTTATCAGTCGGCAAGGAAGCCAAATGGAAATTCTGATAAAGGCGAAACAAGCAAACAATCCGCAGTTTGCGTTCCTATCGATAGACGAGCCACTTCATCAGTATTATAGATATGTCCTCGATGCTATCAAGAGTGGAAAATATAATCCCGAAAAACAACCTGAGAAAGAAGAATCAGGTATGCATATTATTTTCTATATAAAAAGAGAATCTCTTCATAGTAATATCACATTGAAGTTTACATTATTGAGTTGAGGTAATTGAAGCAACATAAAGCAGGATTTGATTACCCACACCTACTTTGATTCTACTTAGTTTTTCTTGCCGTAAGTATTGCCATAAAACTTTGTTAATATACATCGCTATCCACTGTATTAATCCATTCGTTAATTATCTTGATATATTCACGATTCTAATCTTTTGTTTTTTGTCTTTTTTAATGATAGAACCCGAGGAAGAGTCCGATGCAGATGACGAGCCGTACCTACATCCAAGTCTCGCGCCATCGTTTACAAAGATCGAAGCGGTGAGTCCTTCTTGCACGATGCATATCATTAAAAATTTAAATTTAAAATTTAATCCCCTAAAATTGCAACCTTTTAAAAAAACGACTCTTCCTGTGTTTTCGGGAAAATTTTATTGAAATTTCCTGAATCATTTTAGAATAATGTATATGAAAGTGCATGGATCTCACAAGTAAACCTACCCAAAAATTATACTCCGATTTCTTTCTAATTTGGCATAAATATAGAAGTACAAAAAATATTTAGATTATATTTTTTCACTTTGGCCCACTTTGAGTTTCAGTTTATAGCTTTTTAATGTTTTCACTCCTATCATCAAGTGCAACAAAAATGCATAAGAAATAAAATTGAATACAAGATACAGGCGTTTTTGGTTTACTGATTATGAATATGAAGTCAAATGTATAAAATTATTTGTATAAATAATACAATGTTTAAAGGAAACATGTAAAAAGTTTAAAAAATTATTTATACAAATAATTTCTCGGTTTAGCCAAGATTCGAAACATTTTTGATTAATTTAACACATTTGAAATATTTCGGTTGGAATCTCGGCTAAAGAAATTTAAAATGGTTCGTGTCAGCTATGCCGATTTTGTTAAAATTATTTAACTATATCTTGTATTCAATTTTATTTCTTATTCACTTTTGTTGTACTTGTTAATGATAGGAGTGAGAATATTAAAAAGCTATAAACTACCCGTGAAACTCAAGA